TTGCTGGCTGTAGCAGCGCTATAGCGCTGCTACAGCCAGCAAAAACGCATAAAAAGGTGCACTTTCCAGGGGCAGAAAAGTCCACAGAGGCAAAGGAAACTAAATTTAACCAAATTTACGACAGCAGATTTGTTGAACGGCTAACTGCCCATCTTTGTGATCACAACGTACGTTACGAATTATTACTAGTACAAGGAAAAGACGAGGACAAGACAAAGAAAGGGGCTTGGAAGATGCAAGAGTTGTAAAAAGGGAAAAATATGTTTCGGCTCAAAGAAGAGTGAATGTGTTATCTCGGACCGCAGATGGACCTAGCCCGCACAACGGTTGCAATGCATTTTTAGAAAGCATAGGAAGGGAAAAGTGGGTAAATACTAATGCCGGAATTAACAGCTTCTCTCGCGACTCCGGCCATCACGGAAGAAATCTCTGGAGAAGACACGACAGCGGAAAATCCCGGAACTGGACGAATTTTTGCTGAAGCGAGATTATGCTGGCGCTATCTCGCTGTTGCAGGTCAGTTAAGGGAACAAATGCTAATTAAATGTGCAGCAGGCATTTTTTAAAAATGTGCTGAAAACTACTGCAAGTCTTGAAAAAACCTTCTTCTTACAAACATATTCTTATCCACACTCTTCAACATCCAGAGCTGATTTCATGAAAGTAGTAATGATCGCATTAACAATTAGTGCTGGAAGAAAAATGGGCTTAAAAGCACAAACACTTCTGATCTGTTTTGTGTTTTCAAAGGGTAAAAATTGAAGGAACAAATTATCTGAAAAAAAAATAATTTTTAAATAATTTTGTAGCATTTCATAAAACTCGTATTTTGAAAATTTAATGCATTTGGGGCTCTCCAAGTCAGAAAAAAAACTGAACAATTTTAAAACGTTTTTCCCTTTTTAATTCTAAATCGGAATTTTTTTAAACTGCAGTTTTTGAGCTGTAACTAGAATCAATAATAAAAGAACGAGGCTTAATGCTTAAAACTGCAGTTTCAAGCGAGAGGCGGAACTACGGACGAATCGACAGATCTCTGGCTTGGCCACTGTGCTTTCCATGCTGGTGAATACCGAAAAGCTATGCAGGTTGTCACTGTTTATGATTCATTTTATATGCTCATACATATACACGTGAAAACGAGACCCTGCTGCTTTGCGTGTTTGTTTTGCATTCTTGTGCCCGTCATTTTTTTCTTAAACCTGAAAATTTGGCTGAATTTGGAGTGAATGAAATGATGAATGAAACTTTAGTCTTTTTTCAATCTGTTATTCCAATTTCGCGTTCTGAAGCGTGTGTCACGTAAACGTCTCCTACTCGATAAGGGACTTGGCCGTGGCTTGGGATTAGTAACGCCTGGGCACGAGGCGGTGACTTCAACAAACACCGCAGAATCAGTGAGTGCTGATGTCTTGCAAAGTACTTCTATCGGCGGAGCCAGTGGTTCGTTAATTCCTTCGGGCGGAGAAGGAAGCGATTGGTTTGCCAGGAGACTGTTTACCAGGCCGTGCAACACTGTTCAAAGCATTTATGCGACGAAGAGAAATGGAAATGACAAGGTTATCTGCTAAATCACTGGAGAGCACAGCAAATGTGGCTTACAGTTGCAGTTTTCAAGCTATTTAAATAGTAGTTTAGGCACAATTTCCACAGAGAGGATCATTCGTTTTTAGCTAATTTTTTGTGATCGATGAATCGTTTTAAGGTATACGAAAGAATGCTGTCACAAAAGAACTGTGCCCAAGAAGTATTCCTCTACATTGCTTGCTGTGCTTTCTACCTTGGATTGTGCTCGGAAGCAAGGGAATATGCCGAGAAAGGTTTTAATTGAGATTCAAAAATTTGATGTTCCGAACAAGTACTGAGAATAGCTGTACTTTGATCAGGCCATAGAAAGATATCTAGTTGATTTTCAGGCTATTCAAAAGAGAACAGTAGTCGAATGTCCGCAAATTTAATACCTAATGAACTGTACAAGCGCGAAGTTTGCAGGACCTATGATTATGTAAAAGCATTGGAGAGATAATTCCGTAAGTGCCAGACTGGGAAAGGCAAAAAACGTTTTAAAAACGTAAGAGCTTAGAACTAGAATGATATGGTTTGATTAAACATTAAGAAAGTGCCAATTTACACAAAAATTCCTCTGTGCCTTCTTTTACCTGCACTGAGCCACATTAGCAAGCACATATTTTTTTAGTTTAACTAACCCATAGCACCCGGATCAAAACTCAGTATTTGAGAATCGAAAAACAGCAGTTTTGGTGGAATAATTTGCTCGTAATAAATAACAGCGAAGAAGCTATCAACCGAGAGGCATCATTTTGTAATTTGAGGTGTCAAAAATGCGTTGCAAAATCGGCTGCTGTTTCATGTGGCTCATCGGCTAAAGGACGAAAAGCAGCTAATGGCGCATCATAGTCAACTTCAGGATACAACTGAAGACCAAATATCGCTTGCATCAGTGCACTATCTACGTTCTCACTATCAGGAAGCTATTGATATTTACAAAAAGATTTTGATCAATAACAAGTGAGTTTTTCCTGCGTCTTGTTAATTCGAATTTCAAGAAGAAAAAAAGAACACATTCGGAACCATTCATTTCTATTAAGCGTAAGTGGCGGAGCAACCACAAGCGAAAGTATTTTTCAACTGCTACCACTGTTTATGACTGTCTTATTCCAGATTCGCTAAGAAGTGAGCTGTTGGTAGTCTTGACTTTCCGACACATGACAGTTCCAGCTTACAGTCAAAAGAAATCAAGAAATCATAGTGAAACTAATTTCAGCACCAGTTAAATCGCTATTGACTTCTAGCGTAGCAATAGCTTTCCTATAGTATACAAGCAGTTTTCACATCTACCAGCAGTCTTCACAGGAATTTCACATGTGCAATGCGTTCGGTTTTCCGAGGTTGCTGGCCACGTGATGTTTTACTATTTTAAAATCGTTAGAAAAAAAATGAGCGTGTGTTTTCCTTTGTAGCCATCTCTCTTTGAAACCTTCAACGTAGGCAAAACTCGACAAGTTCCTTAAGTTTACACCTTGAACTGGCTGTCATGCCTAGACTACCATCTTGGTTACTGCTAACTTCTTTCGCCGTAAATTAGCCGGGATATATAAAACTGCAGTGATTTTGGTTTAATGAATCTTGTTTTTAAGAACAGATTGATTAAAAATTAAGCTGTATGCTGCATGTCAAAAAAAAATCACTTTCTCTGTTAAAGCATTCCCAACTCTCGCTAATTACTCGCATTTAAGAATGAGAGATAATTATGGGAGATAATAATACGCAATAAATTTGTAGGCATTATATTGCGCTGAATGTTTATCTTGCACTGTGCTATTACAAGCTTGACTATTACGATGTTTCGCTGGTA